TGGTCCCAGAAACACAAATACCATGTTTTCCCTGTTTGTAATGACTAATATTCAGAATACAAAATAGTAATATACCTGAGTGAAATTTACATTTTAGGATTTCGTTATTGTTTACAGCCCCCTGTCTATATATTCTTGAGGACTGGGGGGGGGCTTTTCCCACTTATTATTTGTTGAATTCTTTATCATTAGTAGATCATTAGGCTTGTGATTATAAAACAAACCAAAAGAATGCCATTATAAAAGTTCATATATTATATATATATATATATTATATATACGAACTTATATTATATATATGTATATATATAATAAGCAAGGAGGAGGGAGGGTAGAATAGGAAATATCAGTACGCTCCTAAATCTGTACAAATGAGATGCATGAAATTAGTTCACCTTACATAAATTAAAAATTTTTTAAATGAAGAAAATATATGGAGGATTATTCATGTGTTTTCCTGAAAAATCCAAGTTCTAAAATAATTACTGATACATATGGTTTAGCTTTACTTTTCCTAAATTTAATTTGATCTTCATTTTTTTGGTTAAGATTAAAAATCCAGGGCCCGGCGCGGTGGCACAAGTGGTTAAAGGTCCTTGCCTTGCACGCCCGGGATCCCATATGGGCACCGGTTCTAATCCCGGCAGCCCCGCTTCCCTTCCAGCTCCCTGCCTGTGGCCCGGGAAAGCAGTCGAGGACGGCCCAAAGCTTTGGGACCCTGCACCCGCATGGGAGACCCGGAAAAGGCTCCTGGCTTCGGATCGGCATAGTATCAACCCGTTGCGCTCACTTGGGGAGTGAATCATCGGATGGAAGATCTTCCTCTCTGTCTCTCCTCTCTGTATATCCTCCTTTCCAATAAAAAAATAATAAAAATAAATCTTTAAAAAAAAAGATTAAAAATCCAAAACCATACCATGTCCTATTGAGATGTTGGCTTCTTATACTATATAGAGTGAAAATGGACAACAGGATTTCATCTTAACAGGGTTTTCAAGGGAGCGGGTATGTCTGAAATTGTCTCCCCCACTTTGTTTTTCTGCACGGGACTCTGCAGTGCCCAGGAACAATGGTATCCAGTGATACGTGACAGGTCAAACCAGAAAGAGTTGCTTCCTTTGGAAATTCCCATATGCTGACCCAAGCCAAGTATGTCTAGCTTCCCTTGAGTTTCTTCAAAAGAGAGTCTTCACAGTTAAGTTTTATTCACATTCCATCGCAATGTCAAAGAAACCAAAAGGATGGTTTCAAGACCCAGATCAAACCATCAGCAAATCTTTATAAACATCTAACAGGCAGATTTCACTACTTCTAGGAAGAGCTAATGATCTGAAATGCAGAAAAACTATTTAGTTCAGATGAAACTAAAAGACAGCCCTTTGGTGATTCCTGATTTGTTTAGCATCAAGTCCAATGTCCTCGGTCTGGTGTTGAAGGGCAGTCCCCCATGCAGTGGTCCTACCTAGTAGTCCAGCCCTTAGCATCCTGGCTTGTCAGGGTCTGTCCCCTTCCAAAGCTGCTGTCAGTCTCTCTCTCCCTCTTTCAACTCACAGGGCAATTACAATTTAGCAATTTGCCATGCTCTGCCTTTAATGCTTTCACATACTGTTTCTCCACATATTTCCACAAAGTATCTTTCTCTGTCTGAAAGGCCCATCCCTCCCTTTTTGTTTTTTGATATTATGAAACACGTAATTCAAGGGGCATTTTCTCGGAGGAGCATTCCTTGAACCCAAGACTGAGATGTGTATTGTCTCTTCTATTTTTATTCACACTTCCCCGTACAGCACTGCAATGTGACTGTGGGGCTGTGTGTCAGCTCCCCTCACTCATTTCTATGCCTTGGGGTGGGGTGGGAGGGCTACGCACCTGTATATCTTTGTAGCCATTGGACCAGCCCTGTAGCATAGCAGGTAAAACTTCCACCTGTGATGCCAGCATCCCATACAGTCACTGGTCTGAGTCTCAGCTGCTCCACTTTTGATCCAGATCCCTCCTAAAGGACTGGCTTTTGCTACCTACATAGGCCCCCTGGATGATGCCCCTGGCTCTTGGATTTGGCATGTCTCAGTGCTGGCTGTTGCAGCCATCTGGGGAGTGAGCCAGTAAACTGAAGATCTCTTTCTCTAGCTGTCTTGGCCTGTGCCTACCCCCCTCTCTCTCACTTAATAACTGCCTTTCAAATAAATAAACCTTAAGAAAAATAAAAAATAAATCTTTTTTAAAATGGGGGCTGGGACATGTGTGGTAGGGCTGTGGTGTAGCAAGCTAAGCTTCTCCCTGCAGCACCAGCATCCCATACGGGTGCTAGTTTGAGTCCTGGAAGTTCCATTTTTGATCTAGTCCCTGGAATTTCAGCCTGGGAAGACTGTGGAGGAAGGACCCTAAGTCTTTGAACATGTGTTCATTGTGCAACAAAAATGAAATACAACAAAGCAAAAGCAACAACATGGATGTGACACAACGGGCATTTAAAAACACACAATACTAAACTGTATTGTTTAGGGAAGCTCGCATCAGAGTTAGAAAACTATAAATGAACACATGGATGTGACGGGCCTCAAGGACAGAAGGGTGATTCTCTCTGAGGCAGCCAGGGCGACAGGAGTGTGATGAGGAAGGAACACACAGGAAGTTCCCAGGGACCAGAACTATTTGGGCACTGGTCTAGGGGCAATGGCATAGGTTTGCAGTAGGGTGATTTGTTATAGTATATGTGTGTATGTGTGTGCACACGCACACATGTGTGTAATAGCTCCCTACTGGTGCTGCAGCAAATCACCACAAACTTAATGACTTCCTGAACACATTTATTATGTTTGAATTCTGGACGTCAAAAGTCCACAGTGGGTTTCACTGTGCTAACATCAAGGTATTGGCAGGGCTGTGTTCTTTTCTGGGGGATCTATGGGAAAATCCATTTTCTTGCCTTTTCCAGTTATCAAAGGCTGAATTTTTTTTACCTGTCACCTCCAAAGCTAGAAATGGCTGAAACTATCCCCTATCACACCATAATAACCCTGAGGCCAGCACTGAGGCCCACCTCCTTGACATTCAATGAGTGACTGACTATACTGAGCCACCCACAAGCTTCAGGAAAACCATCCTACCTTAAGGTCATCTAATTTTAATAACCCTATTTCTGTCTGTTGCTTTAAGTCTTCTTTAGCATGTAAAATAATAACATCTGTGGCAACAGATTTATAGGATCCAGGGATAATGATATGGACATCTGTGGAAGTCCACCACCATGCTTACCACAGCATGCGTTATTCACATTTCTGAACCTACATTCCATTTATATTGACACAAGATTAAAATCAGATTTTGGCACAGGAACACAATGAATTCTAACACAATCGTGAAAAAAGAATGATACTTTTTTTGTGGAGTGTTTACGGAACAATAAAGACACCACCATGGTGTAAAGCATAGCATCACTGATGTCAAAATATCTATCTGCCTGTCTAAATCAAAGCAAAACAGAACAAAACACAGGGAGCAGCTTTTCTATCTAAGAAGTATTTCTTGGGAGGCTTTGGCAACTCAGTGAAGATAATAGTAAGGAATCATCACCCACGTTTGAACAGACACAGAATTGCATGGAATTTATAGGAGGAAGATAACATGGAATTACCATGTACACAAAGCCCTTTCCTGGCAACTGTATCTTTTAATAAACTGCTAACAAAATAAAGAAGAATGTCACGCAGATAGAAAATTATACCATTTGGTTTATCCAGGACGAGAAATCTGTGGCAGAATTCAGAATTGCAAAAGGAACAATAGATAAACATGAGCAGTTGGGTAATGTGTGGAAACCTCCCGGAGAGCAGCCAACCCCCTGGACCATGGCCAAGCGTGACGCACCCAGGGAACAGTAGTTGGGAGGAGGCCCCGCCACCTGTGGCACAGAGGGGACAGAGTGGCATTTTTGACCTACGTTTGAACCCTGCTGTAGCAACCCTTTCTCCAGATCATTCAGAATCTGCATAGAGGGTACAGGGCTGACGTGTGTAAACGGACTTATGTCCAACCAAGCAACCCAGAAACTACACATCGACAAACGGCTTCTTGAGTGCCCTTTTGAGGAAAAGATCAGCTTAAACCAGGATTTAGTTATTCCTTTTTTAATTTCCAGTCAGTTTCTCATTCATTTATTCAATGCCTAGTGAATGTCTTCATCTTCTTGGTGTTAGCACTATAAAATGTGCAGTATGATTCTGAAGTAAATTTCAAGAAACACACAATAGTGTACTGTTTTGCTTTGGAGTGAATATGTGCATGGTAAAACTTACATCTGAAAGCAAGAAAATGACTGGGGTAAAAGCTGAGATGTGGCTATATTTGAGGAAGGTGTGGCAAATGTTATTGGTCTGGGACACTCAACTGAGAGAAGCAGAGGGGAGCCAGTCCTGAGTCACGTGGTCCACGCTTCAGTAAAATTCTTACCAGTTTTATGCCTTAAGACCAAACACACGCACGCTGTGGCAGAGGGGCAGTATTTCTGAGTTCATAGGGACTTGGTCATTGTGCACCCTTACTACATATCTCCCCTCAAGGTTACAATAACCACACATAAACTAGCAGTGTCAAGTAGTACTGGCTCCTTCAGAATTAAACCTCTTTTCTCATTCTTCTATGTGAATGCACAACCATAGATCAGGGGTGTTGGAAGGAACCCTATGAATGCATAGACAGAGAACAAACACAAGAGATGTGCGGTAAGGAATTCAGAGAACACAAGATGCTCAGCCCAAATTATTATCATCAGATTGAAGAGAAGAAACTACGGAGAAAAAGGGATGAACTTTACGAACAGGAATAACAAAGGGGTCTTTGAAATTCACATTATGACTGGTAGGGAACGTGCAGATGTAGCTCAGTGTCTTGCAAAGTGATCAGCGAACCAGGCATGACTCAGAGTCACCTGACTGCAATGAAGAGAAAAGAAAACCCAAAATATCACAAGCTTTCTGACTCCCCGGAAGACTCTGTACCTGAAATGTTGCAGTAAATGGTCTGCTGGTAGAGCCTGGCTTCTCGGGGGCTGAAGTACACTGTAACTTCCGCTGACGAGTTGGGCCAGACATCACCTTCCTGAAAAACAGGGATTGGCAAAAACATTACGATGAATGGAAGGTACTGCTTGTCAATGTTGTATTATAAGTTCATAAAATATTTCTCATAAAAGTATACTTCAGCTATACAACATTTTTATACATATGTACACATATGATGAAATGATTACTAAAGTCAAGGAAATTAAATACATCCATCTCCACAAAACTTTTTTCTCTCTCCTTCTGTGTGTGTGTACATGCGGGTATGCATGGCAGGAGTACCTGAAGGCTACTCTTGTAACAAGCTTTCAGGACAGAAAACATGAACTACAGTCACCATGCTAGGCAGCAGGTCTCCAGGATTTGTTACTCTCACGATTGCACTTTCGTCTCCTTCAGTCAACATCTCCCCGTTTCCCCCATTCCTGGGCCCCTGGTCTCAACTACTCGATTCTATTTCTGTGAGTTTGATATTTTATTCCACATAAAAATAAAATCATATGGCATTTGTATTTCTAGGCCTGACTTACTCGACATAATGTCCTCTGGGTTTACCTCTGCTGCAAACGGCAAGACCTCCTTCTCCCGTAAGGACTGGTGTCCCACGGCACGCACACACCACGCCTTCTTTGTCCCTTCATCTGTGCGGGAACAGATGGGCTGCTTCCTTGGCTCAGCTCTTCTGAATGATGTGCAATGCACATGACAGTGCAGATACCTCCTTGAGGTAAATTTACCCAAATTTACCTTTGGGTAAACGTCCAGAAGAGGACTTTCTGCATCTACTACTATTATTATTATTATGAGATGGTATATTATTTTTTCTCATAGCTATGCCAATTTATATAACCAACTGTGTTGAGGGTTTAATTCCAAGAAATCAAAAGCAAATTTTTTTTTGTGACAAATTACAAGAAAGCGTTATATTATCCAGAAGATAATAAACTTATAATGGGTTGCTAACTTAGGAGGCAGTAAAAGATGGGAACAAGTTCCAAAGACAATTTCTCTGCGATTATGAATTTATAATGAGTTACTAAAGAGAGTAAGGGTGTTTGGGGTATTTTTTAAACATGTGTATTCAGTGAATTCACTGTCTGCATAACGTATGCCTCAGAGGAAGACTATGGGTGAAGAGGGCAGGGGGCCCACACCTTAGCAGGATGATAAATATATACGCAAACAGTTTATAACATACTTGCCAGGTCTGTGCCTGTGTAAATGAGGTTCAGAAGGGCCAAAGAGAATGAGCTTTTGAGGTGACAGTGTAATGACACACTCATTCTACGACAACATAGTAATGGCCAAGGCAAAGCGATGGCTAGATGAAACCCTGTTTCAGATCCAGGGTGGAATTTCTCCCTTTAGCTTGAACCCCAGAGAAGCTATGATAAGGAAATTGAGTTCTGAAACTAGAATGAATACAACATGCCACAGGTCAGAATCCCCTTGTCCGGTACTTTTTGATAAGCACAGTTTCGCATGCGCCATGTGATCTGGGGCCTCTGCAGGAATATCCCAGGGCTGTGAAAGGAGATGCAAATGGTGCCATGCAAAGGGCTCCGAGGACACCTGAAGGTCAGACAAAACACTGCAGATGTAACGCTTTGTCCTGCGCCAGTGCCCAGGAAGAGCTCAGGAGGAACTGCCTTGAGCCACTCTGTTGCTGTTCTTGCTGCTCAAAATGACTAAGATGAAAGTAGTGGGAAAAGCCTGGAATGTTTAAGTTTTCTCTATGTTTTTTGTATGTGGGAACAAATGAGGCTAAGTGATAAACATATCCCAAAATCCATAAACAGTTCCACCAGTGAAGTAAACTAAGACAACTTGATACATAATTAGGCTTCGGTTTCAAGAAGTCCCTGGTGAACACTTTGTGCCCAGTCTGGCTCTAAATGCACATACTTCCGTGATAAAGAACTGAGAACAAAATGGCCTGAACGGTAGATGCCAAACAAGGGGAGAGACACAGAAAGCTAGAGCAACCCATCTAAGCAGTACCTTTTTCAGTGTCCCTCCAGACCTCACGCCAAGGGGCTCCTCAGTAGCTCCACCAAGAAGCACTGAGGGCAGTGATAGTGAGCTGGGCCCAGGGGCACTCACATTGCCATATCAGACTGGGAGCATGAAGGCTCTATGAGGGTAAGCACTGCACTACCTGCAGACCTAAACCAGAGCTGGCTCCTGGCGGCTGCCCACTACGTATTTGAATCTTCTAGCTCTCACACTGTGTAGTTACTGTGAGATACCCATCTATTCATCCTTGCAGCTGACTCCTACATGTTATTTATTTATTATTATTTTTTTTTAAAGATTTAGCCATCCTTCATCGGAAAGACAGATCTACATCCACGAATAACACAGCATTTTGTGTGCACAGGAGATAATTCAACGGCAAACCAGATTCTCAAACCCCACTGGCCCCGGAGCAGGCAATGCATAGTACAAGGGGCAGGGGACATCTCTACAAACCGCAAGTGTGGCCTTGCATTTCGTCTCACAGAGGGAGGCTGTCAATGTCAGCTCATCTGAAGGAGTCAGCAACATGCAGGACAACAACTTTAATGTTCAGTTGGGGTTCAAATGAAAGTTAGGGAACTTCTATTTCTCTGTAGCAACTGCTCAAGACAGCACTCTTCAGCAAACCGCTAGGAAGCTGCAGAAGCAGGAAGTGACTTCACTGGCATGCCTTTGAACATTTCCAAACGCTTTCTCCCACACTTCTTAAGTTAACTTCCATGTCATTTATGTCTCTGGGAAAGAGAGCTTTCCTTTCATGATTGCTCAGTTCTAACGCTTCCGAAAACTCCAAACAGAAATTTCCCTACCGGTTCCTACATCAACATTCCTTCTTTGCAGTTCTATACTGGCAGCTCCGCCCCAAGACCCTGCCATTCTGCTCTTTCATGTACCGCCCCTCTCTCAATCCAGCCCATGTCCCTGCTCTGAAGGAGACGTCAAGTATGCAGGACTTAATCTGTGAGGGACTCTCCGTCTAGATGATCTTCAGTTATACTGTAAGGATCTTCTTTCTCGGTCTTAACGTTTTGTTTTTCCCTAAGACCCATGATGAAAGGAGAATAATTTCATTTCACTTATTAGTCAAATGACCTGCTAGCAGGAATCCACTTTGCATTTTTAGACCTAAAGCTAATTACCGTAAGCATTATTTTTGTCCAAATATTAATTCTGTGTGTATAGAACATCAGCTTTCCTCCTGTAATAAGAACAAACAGCCAAGTGACTTCATGGCCTATGTTCAGTGACTTTCTGAGCACGCATGCACTTCTAGCCACTAATTCATGAGAAGTTAAAGAATTCTTGAAAAATGGTGTTCTAGGGGCTGGTACTGTGTCCCAGCAAGTAAAGCCACTGCCTGCAATGCTGGCATTCGAAAGGGTGCTTACTTGTGTCCCGTTTGATCTACTTCTGATCCAGTTCCCTGCTAATGGCATGGGAAAAGAAGATGGCTCAAGTGTCTGGTCCCCTGTATCCATTTGGGAGATTCAGATGAAGTGCCTGCTTCTAGCTTTAGCCTGTCCTGTCCTAGCTGTTGCAACCACTTGGGGAGAGAATGAGCAGATGGAAGTTCTCTCTCTCTCTCTCTCTCTCTCTCTCTCTCTCTCTCTCTGTCTTTCCTCTCTCTCTGTCTTTCTTTATGTAACTCTTTTAAAATAAGTAAATCTCTTGTTAATGGTCATTACAAAATTATATTGATGGTTGTTCAGGAAACTTTTTAAAAAGTCTTTTTCTAATTTTTTTTCAGAAATCTATGTATAGTACATATTTTTGAGATATTTATGTACAAAAGTCTTTACTTATAAGTGTATGGTTAAATTACTCCAAATAAATTGGTTTATGATATGGGGTGGGGGTGGGAAATCTTTCTTTGGGACTGGCACAGCACAGCATAAGGTTAAAATCCTGCCTGTGATGCCAGCAGTCCATGTGAATACCAGTTCAAGTCTTGGCTGCTCAGCTTTTGCTCCAGCACCTTGCCAATACCCCTGGGGAGGCAGTGGAAGGGGACCCAAGTGCTTGTGCCCTGCTACCCACCTAAGAGACCCAGATGCAGTGCTAACCTCTAACCCCAAAACTGGCATTGCACAGCCCCAGGTATCATGACCGCTTGGGTCACGAAACTAGTGGATGGAAGATCTCTCTCCCTTTCTCTCTGCATCTCAAATAAATATGTATTTTTAAAATTCTCTTGAAAATGTTTAAATAAAAAAGGAAATATTTCAAAAAGTCTCTTGCCTTCCTTTTCTGGCCCATCCTTTTCTTTCTCTCTTTCCATCCTTCCTTCTTCCTTCCCTTAAGCAAATCCTACCAAATCAAACCCAAAAGTGCAAAATCAGAGAAATACATACATATAGGACTCAAGTTCCACAGTTGTCAAATAAAACAGACTTTGATTCTTACATTTGAGTGATTCAAATATTCTTCCATTCAACTATCAGCCTTTCCAATCAAACTCTCTCATCTAAGAAGAGACACTAACTCTAAATCATATTTACACAGTGTTAAGGGTTTATATACATTATCCAGTTCAAGTTTCACATCATAAACTAGTTATCAACCCCATTTTAAAGATGGGGAAGTCAGGGCAAAAGGAAATTAGCCATACATCTCACTCATGCAGAGACCAAGAGTAAGCAGCAGAGCTAATATTCTACAGTAACTTTTTCCCTAACTGCCCCCACCTCATTACAATGTAAATCCTCACTGTCTTCACCATCCTCACATTATTTGAGAGAGAGAGAGAGGAAGATAGGGAGGGAGGGAGGTAGCAAGGAAGGAAGAAAGGAAGGAAGGAAGGAAGGAAGGAAGGAAGGAAGGAAGGAAGGAAGGAAGGAAGGAAAAGGCCAGAAGAAATTTCAAAATCCTATAGCTGACAATCAGGCTGAGCTATAAGCAGTGCACTTTTCAGTGACCACGCTTGCAGAGTGACGGCCTTTCCGCTCCAGGTTCAGAGCCCCCTGAAAGGTGACTCAGGGATGGTACTTTGGGATGGCACAGTCAGCGCTAAGGCTCTGC